GGCCCCGGTTGATATAGGAGAGGCAGGTCTGGTGGGAAGCTCGTCTGTCCAGCCCGCCTCCCCCAGTGCCTTTTTTTTCTCCTTCTCCTTCCAAGAAATTCCCCTTCATCCCAACACATCCATTTTGGTTCATGGATATTTTTTTTTTTTAAGGTCCATTCTCCTCTTACCTTGGGGAGTTAACCACAGGTGTCTTGGTTTGGACGAAGGCAGTCTTTCTGTCCATAATTTTTGCAGCCTTTCATAAGTAATTCCATGTAGCAGGCTGAGATGGCTGGGTTCCCCTCCGTACATCTCCACAGCCGGTGTGACTGCAGCTGCAGTGCGATGTGGCACTGGGGGAAGGGGCCAGTATTTCCCGGCATCACTGGCTGATGGTGCTCATACGGCCCCCTTCCCTCTCCCCTTCCTGTTGGGGCTGGGCTCTGAACAAGACAAATTACCCAGTTTCATCCTTGTTTGGGTTGTCTGCATCCACCTCTGAGCAGTGTCACCCCTTTGTCAGGGCCACTTTGGCTGGAAAGGTTGGTGCCCCTCAGTAAGATGTTGTGGGACTTCCATGAACTCCTTGGGGCTGAAGCTGGAGTGTAACTTGCTGTTTTCCCTGTCCCAGATTTCATCTTCCAGAAGGAGCTGTTTGCTGCCAGAGACGCAGGTGAGCTGTGCGAGCCGTGGCACGGGCTTTACGGAGTGCTCTGCCTATGGTTAACTCCCTCCTGGGGAGGTGCCTTGGGGACACCAGCAGGACATGCCTGGGGTACACCATAAACCTGCTCTCATCCCTGGGGCAGAGCACTGCCTCCGTGCTGTGCTGCCCTTGCAGCGAGTGCTGTGCAACACCACTCAGTTCCACAGCCCCCTTCCTCCTGCAGCCCCTTGACCTCTCTGCATGTCTCCCCACGGCACGCCGGGGCTGTGCTCCCGCTGGGAGATGGTCCCTGGCCTTGCAGAGAAGGAATCATCATACCCTGGCCAAAGGGCTGCCTCCAGCCCTGTCCCTGCTCCCCTCCCTGCACCCCTTGTATCTCCTCTGTTGCTAAATGGGGACACAAAAGTGCCTTCAAGGAGGTCCTGGGGTGAAGGCTGCAACGGCAGGAGATTTTTGAGCACTAGCCAAGAGCAGCGCTGGCCTGGGAAACCGAGAAGACAGCAAATGCTGCCTACGCTGGGGCTGGTCATTCCCCAGCCAGTGCCCGTTCCTTGTCCCCAGGGCTGTGTCATGGGGTGTTGCATGGCTCAGCCTGCAGATAGGGACATGCCACTTCTGCAGCTCATTAGTGATGGTGTTACAAGAGGATGGCTAAGGTATGGTATGACGGTGTGCTCCCCAACCTCCACCCTCCCTGCTCCCCTGCTGCAGCCTTGGGGTCCTCACGCACAACTCAGGAAAGGGCTGTGCAGCAGCAATGCAGCAGGAGGTGGGAAGGGAGGGAGAGAAAACAGGAGAAGGGATGCAGTGAAGCTATGTCAGCTCACGGCCCTGGTGCTGCAGCTGGACAGACGCAGGGGCTGGCAGGTATAATATTCTCCCGTTCTGTCCCCGCTCCCCTTGCAGACCCCATGCACAACCTCTCTGCTCAGCCCTGGCAGGCGAAGATGGCAAACCTGACCTATGACAACTTCACCATGGGCAACCGCTCCGAGGTGGCCATCCAGCCTCCCACCAACTACAAGACGGTGGAACTGGTTTTCATCGCCACGGTCACCGGCTCGCTCAGCCTCGTCACCGTGGTGGGAAACATCCTGGTGATGCTGTCCATCAAGGTGAACCGCCAGCTCCAGACTGTCAACAACTACTTCCTCTTCAGCCTTGCCTGTGCAGACCTCATCATCGGAGTCTTCTCCATGAACCTCTACACAGTCTACATCATCAAAGGCTACTGGCCGCTGGGGGCCGTGGTGTGCGATCTGTGGCTGGCCCTGGACTATGTGGTAAGCAATGCCTCTGTCATGAACTTACTCATCATCAGCTTTGACCGGTACTTCTGTGTCACCAAGCCCCTGACGTACCCGGCCAGGAGGACCACCAAGATGGCAGGGCTAATGATCGCGGCCGCATGGATATTGTCCTTCGTTCTCTGGGCCCCTGCCATCTTGTTCTGGCAGTTCATTGTGGGCAAGAGGACAGTCCCCGAGAGGGAATGCTACATCCAGTTCCTCTCCAACCCAGCAGTGACCTTCGGCACGGCCATTGCTGCTTTCTACCTGCCTGTGGTCATCATGACGGTGCTGTACATCCACATCTCCCTGGCCAGCAGGAGCAGGGTGAGGAGGCACAAGCCTGAAAGCAGGAAAGAGAGGAAAGGCAAGTCCCTCAGCTTCTTCAAGGGCCCTGTGGTCAAACAGAACAACAATAACTCACCCAAGAGAGCCGTGGAGGTGAAGGAGGAGGTGAGGAATGGGAAAGTGGATGACCAGCCCTCAGCACAGACAGAGGCCACTGGCCATCAGGAGGAGAAGGAGACCTCCAACGAGTCCAGCACGGTCAGTATGACCCAGACCACAAAAGACAAGCCCACAGCAGAAATCTTGCCAGCAGGGCAAGGACAGAGCCCGTCCCACCCCAGGGTGAACCCATCTTCCAAGTGGTCCAAGATTAAGATAGTCACCAAGCAGACTGGGACTGAATGCGTCACCGCCATCGAGATTGTCCCAGCTAAGGCAGGAACCTCTGACCACAACTCCCTGGCCAACAGCCGCCCAGCCAACGTTGCCAGGAAGTTTGCTAGCATCGCCAGGAGCCAAGTACGGAAGAAGCGCCAGATGGCAGCCCGGGAAAAGAAAGTCACCCGCACCATATTTGCTATCCTTCTAGCCTTCATACTCACGTGGACTCCATACAACGTGATGGTCCTCATTAACACCTTCTGTGAGACCTGTGTACCCGAAACAGTGTGGTCCATTGGCTACTGGCTCTGCTACGTCAACAGCACCATCAACCCAGCCTGCTATGCCCTCTGCAATGCCACTTTCAAGAAAACCTTCAAGCACCTTCTCATGTGCCAGTACAGGAACATTGGCACAGCCAGATAAGCTGGCACTCAGGGACCACTTCAGCAATGTTACAAAAGCCCTTCCCTTTGCCTCCTTTGTCGGGGGGGATGTCCTCTGCTCCCCACTCACAACAGTGCAGACTGTGCGGTGATTGCAGATGATGCCCTTCATCCAACGCTGACAAAGGTCCAAGGCACCCCTGAGCTGCAGCTCCTTCCAGTCACCCTGGGCCTGGGGGAATAGCTCGGGGAGCCAGTGGGAACGTCGGAGGCAAGAGGAGGAGATGTGGTCACCAGAAGCCCTTCCCAGCTCCCTGCTCTTGAGAGGCTGGCCAAATGGCATCAGTGTTTGTCTTAAGACTGGATGCCTCTTCTTCCCCTGGCTGTCTCCAGGGCATCAGAGCTTGTCTGCATGCAGACGGCCTAACGCTGGATGCTTTCAATAGGCTTTTAAAACGTTTATTACCCAAGAAATGAAAAGAAACCGGGGCCAAACATTTGCCAGCCGTCTTGGACCAGGCTGACTTGGGCGTGCTCACTGGGAGTCCTGCTGGCCCAGCCAGGCCCCCTCCCAAGGCAGGCAAGATTGTGCCCTAGCAGATGTGGCAAGCTCCTTCCTTTCCCTTCAGAGATGCCATCCTACATCCTCACCCAGGGACTGGGGGGGATGGGAATTTTTCCCTGGGCTTCGTCTCTGCTCTCCCCTTCATGCCCTTTCCTGACAGCAATTGGCTGGACAGACAGACAGACAAACCAAGCATCTCACTCCTGGGTGAGGAGCGTGAAACCCAGTCGCCCCTACAAACATGGAAACTAAAACTGCCAAGAAAAGCAGTGGTAGAAAAGCAGTGGTGTGGTGCAGGACTTCTCTCCATGGCCCCGGGGGAACATGGCCCCTGAGAAGTGGGCAGCAGCAACAGTGAAAATAACTGTCCTTGGGAGGGACAGGGGGAGCTGAGGGTCTCAGAGGCGGTTGGAAAGAGGGTCTGCAATGTGGCCAAGGTGCCCTGTGTCCCATCTGGGCCATGAACAAGTCCGCATTCTCCCCGTGGTGGGTGTGGGAGACCTGATGCACAGCTGCAGGGGCAGGAGAGGATGGTGGTGGCCCTCAGCCCCGCTCCTGCCCCAGGTACAGGGGGACATCCCAGGGAGGCCGAAGAAGCCAGCTGCTGAGCTTTGTAAATGGATGTAACCCTGTCGTCGGTGTTGTGATGGAGCCCTCAGCATGCGGGCTTCAGCCAGCGTCTCCAGCCCCCTCCCAGCCCACCTCTGTGCGCAGCCCAGACCACCCTGGGGCTGCTCCTCAGCTTCTCCCAAAGCCAGGTCTCTGCAAGTCTTGGTGGGCACGGCCAGGTGCAGCCGAGGGATGGGATGGGGCCGTGCCCACCGGCAAACTCCATGTCTGTATGTCCTTCCCGTCCCCATGCCAGGGGGATGCTGTGCAACCTGGAGAACGGCTGGTCCGGACCAGGTGGGGACCCCCCCTCCCCGCCACTGCCTTTAGGATAATTCACATAGTGGTGCCCAAAATGCCTGGTGGGCTTTGGGCTTTTTTTAAACTGTTACAACCATGGCCCAACCCACCCCGAGACAAATAAAGACCTCGGACCAGAAACCAAGCTCAGCCCTGGCATGAGGAGTGAATGAGTCGTCACCCTGTTGTTCATCCCAAGTCCCCATTGTCACCCACCAGTGACATTTCCTGCAGCAGGTGGGTGGGCAGTGCCATCTCTCCCTCCGAGAATGAGAGGGGCAGTGTGAAGTGTTGCGGAGAAGAGGCTGTGGGGTCTGACCCACACGCCCTCTCCAGGCCCATGTGTGGTGGCACCCAGGCCATTGCTGCCAGCCACATGGTCGGTAACTTCACTGCTGGTCCCGGTGGTGTGGGCAAAGCTGAGGTTCGCTGGGGTTTCCAGCACAGCAGCAGCATGTGGGGATGACAGGTGGGTTTGGAGGTGTTCTTTTTTTTTAAAAAGATTTTTATTGGAAAAGAAAACAAACCCCATTTTCCAAAAGAAGTGAGAGCTCCCACCCAGCACCGGTGTTGGTGTGTCGAAGGCAGAGGGGCTGCAGCCCCGGCATGGACACACACGGTTCGGAGTGATGGAGGAGAGGGGATGTGGTGATTCCTGGGGACGGTGGCTTTGTTTTCCCTGGCTGCTAGGAAACTCCTGCTCTGGCCCAAGGGATGCTGAAAGAAGCCCCCCCGAGCTGAGAGCAGTCCTCACATGAGGGGCATGCGAGTGATGCAGTGACTCAGGCATTCAACACCCTTCCTTCCAGCACCGGTACCCAGCAGAGGAGCAGAGAGGCTCCCAGGCTTGCTAAAGGATGCACCAAGGGTAACTCATTTGTGCCAGAGGGTGGAAATATGTGTGTTCCCATCCCGGCTCTCCACGTGCATCCCAGCGAATGCCGACACCAGCCGAGAGGAGGAGAGTGGGACGCACCGCCAGCGGCGGTGGGGCAGTGGGGAGGGCAGCAGCCCCTCCTGCAGGGCGGGTGGGTTTGCTCTCTACAACACTAGCAATTAAAACAAGGCATCTCAGTGAAAGAAGAGGTTGTGGAAAGGGAGAAGTAGAAGAGAAGGAAGACTGGAGCGCGGGCCGGCTGCAGCTGGGCTTCCAGCCCCGTGGGCACCGTGTCAAGGGGCCGACGTGGATTCTGGCTTCCTGCTCTAGTCCTTCCCTTTGCCCTTCTTTGCTGCATCCAAGAAGCACAGGAGATAAGAGTTAGTGTGTCTACCGGCAGCTCACCAATCCCCCAGGTGCTGCCATGGCAGAAACGTAGCCAGCATGGCTGGCTGGCCACAGCTCTGGGGCCACCTCCCTGCAGGCAGCCTCCCCCCACCACGCAAAGCCCCACTGAGGAAAGGGGGAAATCCCCATCCCACCAAAGCTGGCGGTGACTTGCGAGGGGACACTAGGGTTTTTCCTAGCAGCACCTGCATCCCGCCCAGCCAGCAGCTGGTCTTTGGGGTTGTCCCATGTAGTGACACAGAGGGAAGAGCATCCTATGCAATCCCCCACACCACCAGCAAAGCCCAACCCCAAGGGGCCAAGCTACCCCCAGAGAGACCCTGCCTGGGGTCTCAGCAGGACCCTTCTGGGGACAGGAGCGGTGGGGACTGACCTTTGGACTTCGACTTGATCTTGGAAGAGCAGGGCTTGGTCACATAGACAATCTCCTCACACTGGGCATTGTACAGGGCTTTCTTCAGGATGCCGGAGCGAGTCTTCACGCCCGTCTGAGCGCTACACCCCCCCCAGCTCTCAAATTTGTACTTGCAGTCAGCTGGAAGAGAGGGGACAGACGTCAGAGCCAGGCAAGACCCGGCGCGGCCACCAGCTCCAGCCATCCAGCCCAGGGTGGTCCCCAGCCACCCCACCACCATACACCCACCTCCAAACTTCTTCTTCCAGTTGCAGGGGATCTTGCACTTGAGCTTCTTGCTCTCGTCTTTGCAAGTTCCCTCACGGTAGCCCAGGCCACAGTCCTTGCTGTTGGGGACGCAGGGTCCCCAGCGCCAGTCCTCACACTCGGAGCCGTCCTTCTTTGCCTTCTCTGCAAGGGAAGGGAGAGGGGGTGTTCGCTGCGGGGGCACAGGAACGTGTCCCGGGCTGCCACTGGCCCCCAGCCCCCTTCCCTGGGCTGCCCCTCACCTTTCTTGTTCTTGCCAGCCTCGGCGGTGGCGGCCAGCAGGATCAGCGCCAGGAGAAGGAGGAGGCCCCGGACCTGCATCCTGCCTAGGAAGGAGAGGATGAGACGGGCAAGGGGTCGGGGCGCCGTGCGGCAGCGAGGAGGGGGCATGGTGGGCTGCGAGCAGCCCGCCGGGAAGTGAGAGGGCAGCTGCCTCCATCGCACACGTGCACCTGCGTGTGTGTGTGTGCGCATGTGTGTACACCCCCGTGTCCTGCTTGCTGCCAGCCACTAGACCGTGTGTATTAATTGCAACAGGAAGGCTAATTATGCATCTCAGCAACTGCCTCTGGCCAGGGAAATGTTGGGCTGGGAGCTTGTTCCCACCCCTGCAGCCCCCCATTGCCCTGCGTGTGCCCAAAATGCTCTCCGTGGGGACGCCTGTGCCACTCCTGCCCCCGAAAAGCAAAGCAGCCCCCGCCTGCATGTTGGCAGCGGGGGTCCTGCTCTCTGGTACCGGTCCCCAGCCCCTACCCCCTGTGTTTCTCTGTGGCTCCTTTATCCAGGACCCAGCAGGCTGCCGCCCCACACCGAAAAGCCCCAGGGCTGGGGGAGCGCAGCTGCCATGGTACCTTTCTCCAGCTCCAGAGGAATCCAGGGGGGGAAAGAAAAAAGCCCAGCAAAACCAAACCCACTGCCATGAGGGGTCTGAGAGCTAAACCAGGAAATTAAACAGCAGGAAAAAAAAAAAAAAAAAGAGAGTCCCCACAGCGTGGGAGCTTGTTGGAGAGATGGAATGGGAGAGCTGCACCCACTGCTGGCACCACGGCCGCCAGCACAGCACCCGTGCATGCAGGGGGTGAGCGTGCATGTGTGTGCATGCATGTCCATGCACCTGGGAGCAGGTTGGGGACAAGGGTGCATGCACACAAGCGTCCAGTTCCTGGGGCCTGCCCTCCCTTCCCGGTGGCCTTGGGCCAGGTGACGGCTCTCCTCCCGTCGCCATCATGAGCCTCTGCGGGACACTGCTGCCAACGCTGGGGCTGAGCTCCCACTCCCAGCAGGACTCCAGACGTGCAGAGATGGCATCTCAAGTCTGGTGGCCCCTTCCCTGCTCCCCTAAAGCCTTTCAGGATGACACCCATATCTGGACAGCCAGCAAATACATCTCACCTGCCCTGGCTCCATGTTGGGCTCGGTGGGACTGGGATGTAGAGGTCAGGACACACCGTGTGCCGCGGAGGATGTCAGTGCAGGGAAGAGCCTGGGGTCAGCGTTTGCTCCCTGCCCCCAGGCTCCCCAGGCAGTGGGCTGGAGAGAGCAGCTCCCCGCATTATTCAGGCTCCAGTGCACTCACCTTTCATGCATCCGCCGCCGCGAAGCTGCCGGCTTCGCTCTGCA